TTTATGATTGGAAAATATTTAAAATTACAAATAATTTAAATTTTTTCTTCAATTATTACTCTTAAATTTCATATATTAATAAATGTTATTATTCCAAATTTAAAATTTCAATATTCCAAAATTTGATGATTTTGAACTTTAGAATTTCATAATTTCAAATACATACATACCCTTAAATTTATTTAAATTTTAAATTTTTTGTTTTAAAATGTTAAAATATTAATATATAAAGCTCGAGAACTTCAGAATGTAATGAAATTTTAAATAAGTTTTAAAATTTTTCGTTATATTAATTTAAAATATCAATACATCAATGCTCTAACTAAAGTATTTAGATTTGACAATTTTAGAATTTCATAGTTGGAAAATGATGAATGTCACATATTTAAAATTTCAAATAAGCTTTGAAATGATATGTTAAATAAATTAAACCAATAAAATTTATACGAGATTCTAAAATTTCCAAAATTCAACAATTCCAAAAATTTTAAAAATTTAAAATTTGAAATCTATGCAATTTAACTTTTGGATAATTAATGTTTTAAAATGTTGAAATAATAAAATTTGGAAGTTCAAGAATACCAAAAATTACTTGAAAGTTTTCAATTTTAAAGTTCTCATGCTTTGATAAAGCTTTGTAATATTGATATCTTGAAACATTTAAAAATTCAAAAATATTTGAATTTTAAATTTATGATATTCTACAGCTTGGAATATTAGTTTTTTTAAATGTTATTTGCAATTATCTTTACTTTCTGAAGTTTTACAGCTTTGGAATATTGATATATTAAAATTTTGAAATTCAAAAATTCCCAAAATTTGAAAGATTTGAAATTTCAAATTTATGCAAGTTCTCAAATCTTAAAACTAAAATATTGATATTTTGAAATTTTAAACAATAAAATTTGGATGTTCAGATTTTAAAAATTATTTAAAATTTTATTTCTATGACTTTCTGATGTTCCAAGCCTTAGAACTTTGGAATACTTAATTGGACATTTTAAAATAATTAAATTAAAAAATTCAAAATCGCAAATCCCAAATCTAGTTTTGAATATTGATAAAACATCAATTTTTAAAACAGTAAAATTTGGAATTTCAAAAATTTAAAAATTGTTAAAGGCTATTTGATATCTTAAAGTTCTCACATCTTAAAGGTTTGGAATACTGATATTTAGACAAAAAACATTTCGACGGAGACGGTTTTAACATTTCCAAACAAAATTTAAACAATCAAAAATATCAAAATTTAAATCGAAATAGTTTATACGAGTATTGAAGTTTAAAACGTTAAAACAAAATTTTAAAGTTCAAAAATTTTAAATTTTGAAATATGCAACTTTTTGAACTTTTGAAATATTGATGCTTTAACATTTTTAAATAATAAAATTTTATTATTATTTAATCTATGCAATTTTGTGGAAATTTTAATATTTTGAAATTTTCAAACAATAAAATTTGAAAATTCAAGAATTCTAGTTTTTTAAAATTTGAAATGTATGAGTTTACAAAATGGTCAAACCTTGAACTCTTGGGACATTGATATTTTGAAATTTGAAATAAAATTGAAATTTTTAACCACAAAATTCAAAAATTAAAAAATTTTAAATGTCATTTGAAATTTTAAACCCACACATTCTGAAGTTTTCAAGCTTTACAGCTTTGAAATATTGATACATAAAAATTTTGAAATTTGAAATTTTAAGTCTATGAAGGCTCTCAAATCCTAAAACGGAAATATTGGCATTTTGAAATTTTAAAACAATAAATTTTGGAAATTCAAAAATTTTAAGGCATATTTAAAATTTGAAAGCTGTAATTTTTTAACTTTTGGAATATTGATGTCATAAAATTTTTAAGTAATAAAATTTGGAAATTCAAAAATACCAAAATTTATTTGAGTTTTAAATTTAAAGTTCTCAAGCGATGCTTTGAAAGCTTGTTTTAAAAGTTATTTAAAATTCATGACATTCCACAGTTCTGAATCCTTTGAATGACATTCTAAACTTCTTAAGCCTTGCAGCATTGGAATAATGACAATTTAAATTTTGAAGCAATAGGATCTACAAAAATTGAAATTTCAAGTCTATGAAATTCCAAATTTTTCAAATCTTAAAGAATATTGATGGTTTGAAAATTTAAAATAGTTTTTTTTATTGAAATCTATTTTATAAAATTCTCAAACCCTGAACTCTTGGAATATTAATATTTTGGAATTTTAAAACAAAAAACCCAAAAACTAAGTTATTTGAAATTTTAAATCCATACATTCTGAAGTTATGCTTTGGAATATTGATAGGTATATTTTTCAAAATTTTCAAAGTTTTAAATTTTAAGTTCTCACATCTTAAAACTTCGAAATTATAAAACAATAAAATTTTGAAATTCAAAAATTCCAAAAATTTTTAAAATTTTTTGACATTTTTAATCTACCAAAGTTATCAAACCTTAAAACTTAGGAATGTTGATATTTTGAAATGCTGAAATAAAGTTTAAGAATTCAAAAATTATTAAAATTTTAAATCTATGGAATTCTAGTTCTCCAACCTTACATGTTGTATTGATTTTGAAATTTTGAAACTATAAAATTTGGAAACAAAAATTCCAAACATTTTAAACATATTAAATCTTAAATTCATGGCATTCTAAAGTTCTCAAGCTGGAATAATGATATTTTAAAATTTTGAAGCAATAAAAATTATAAGAAATGTTAAATCTATGAAATTCTACAGTTTTGAAACCTTAAAGTTTGGAATATTAATATTTTGAAATTTTAAAACAAAATTTAAACTCAAAAAGTATTATTTGAAATTTTAAGTTTATGAAATTTTAAAATTTTCCGCTCTTAAAATTCTCCAAATTTAGTTTTAAAATTTTAATATATTCCGAAGTTTAGTTTCAAAATTTTGGAATTTCATAAAATTTCAAAGTATGATAATTATGTGATATTTTGGTTTGAGAGCTTTAGAATTTCACATAATTAAAATTTCAAATGAACTTTTTGATATTTTTGAATGTCTAAACTTTGTTGTCTCAAAATTCAAATATCAATACAACAAAATTGTAAGGTTGGAGAACTTTAGGGAATTTAAAATTTCAATAATTTTTGAATTCTCAAACTTTATTTCAAAATCTCAAAATATCAACACGTTAGTTAAGTTTTAAGGTTTGATAACTTACGTCGATTAAAAATGTCAAATAATTTTCAAAATTTTTAAATTCCCAAATTCTATTGTTTAAAACTTCAAGGTTTTAAGATGTGAGAACCTTCACAGACTTTTTGAAAAATATTCCTATCAATATTCCAAAACTGTACTGAGAGCTTCAGAATGTATGAATTTAAAATTTCAAATAACATTTAAAATTTTTTAAATTTTAGAGTTTTTTGTTTTAAAATTTCAAAATATCAGTATTTTAGTTTTAGGATTTGAGAACCTTCATAGACTTGAAATTTCAAATAAAACCTTCGAATTTCAAAATTTCCAAAACTGTTAATGCTCAGAATCTATGGATTTATGACATTTAAAATTTTTTTTTAATTTTTGAATTTTTTGGTTTAAAATTTCAAAATATTCTTATTCCACAATGTAAGGTTGTAAGAACTTGAGAATGTCGTAGAATTAAAATTTTAAATAATTTTTTAAATCTGATCATTTTATTAACATTTTAAAGTATCAATATCCCAAAAGTTTAAGGTCTCATAGATTTCAAATTTTTAAGTCTTAAAATTTTTGAATTATCAAATTTTGTTCTTTAATGTTTCAAACATCAATACTCCTCTAAGTGTTTAGATTGGAGAAATTTTGATTTTTTTGAATTTCTAAATGTTGTTTGGAAATGTTAAAATATTAATATTTTGAAAATGAAAAGCTGGAGAATGTTAAAATTTCATAGAATTAAAATTTCAAATGATAGTTACAATTTTACTATTTCAAAATTTTAAAAATCAGTGTTGTAAAAAATTGCATGGAATTCCATATTCCAAAGCTTTATCGCTGGAGAACTTTAAAATTTAAAAATTTAAACTAATTTTTATTTTAATTTTCCACATTTGATTACTTCAACATTTTAAAAATCAATACCTATGCAAAAAACTTAAGGTTTTAGAACATTAGAATTTCATAGACTTAAAATATTATTCTTTAACATTTTTGAAACTTTAAAATTTCAAAATATTAAACTTCCAAACTACAGTTTGAGATCCTTAAAATGACATAGATTAAAAATTACAAAAAACTTTAAAATTGCTATAATCTTTGAATTTTAAAATTTTATTTTTTCAAAATTTTATAAATTCCTCGATTTAAAATTTCAAATAAACCTTAAAATTTTTAGAATGTTAAAATTGTTTAACGCCTGAAAACTCAAGGCATAACCAAATTAGCTTTTGGACTTTTAATGAAACTTTAGAAGTTTAATTGTTGTGTAATTGTACAGTAAACGTGTGTCTCGTTACAGTACCCCCTCCTTATTTTTTGCCAGTAATTAATTTGTACGTGTACGTACACTATTTACAAGTACTAGTGGTAAAAATATGAATTAATTTGCGAGCCCCCCCCCCCCCTCGCCCTTCTATGAGTGCAATAAAGCGAGTTTCTTCATCGCAATAAATCCGTATCTTCGCACACGTGTTAATGGGACGTTAATTTGCATTTACGACTCGTACACCTGGCAAATCGCCGGTTCGCAAAAAAAAAAAGTGAAATTATAAACGCGAACACGAAATCGTCCAATTAACCTGTCTCGAATTTCGTACCTAATGAAAGGTCCGTCGAAAAATTCGCTCTAAAACTAAATCGTAGTAAAAGTTGAGGAAGAAGGTGCGGCCCGTCCTCGAGGTAGATAACGCATATGGGGGGGCCCTCGCGCTTGTTGTAAAAGAGACAATTTCCTCATTGGCCCATGACGCAACGAAATTTGCCCCAATGAGGAATTGAAAGGTTAATCGATGTCAATAGAACTTTCGCGTCGGTTGCGTAATTTGATTGGCGGCGACTTACCGCTTGTACTTTGATTGTCGATGGTGGTGAAGCGCGTGTCGGGGGCGTCGGGCGACTCGGGCGAGGGCGGCAGATCGGAACCGATACCCGAACTTCCTCCGCTGCTGTCGATCTTCCGCCCGCTCTTCGCGTTCTGGCCGACGATGCTCGCGTTGAGGCACCTCCGCAGCTCGATCCCGGTGAGATTGCCCTTCTGCCGGTGGACCGTGTCGTAGTCCCTCGGCGGGAGCAGAATTGGCACGTCGTTCTTGTTCAGCTTCGCCCTTAGCTCGGCCGCCACCGAATCGTACAGTGTTGCCACTCGATCGCTGCCAAATCTGAAAGAGACTCAAATTAGTTGACTTGCGCTCGCCGCCCACTTTAGATTTGTCCCACAAACAATAATTTAACCCATGACCCGCAAATTTTTTCACCTAAAACCCGAGGCTATTAGCCCTAATTAGAAAATTGTAGGTGTTCGGTTCTGTTATTGGCAAACTTGGTAGGTGAAATCGCGCTTCTATTGATATATTGCTTGGACGACAAAAAAACTTCGATAGAGGCGCGCCTTTAATAAAAACCGCGGTGGCTTACACCTAAAAAGCAGAGCAGAACTACTTGTCTTGCCAAATTGAGCGAAAGGAACGAAGAAATGAAAGTTTCTGCGATTATCACCTGCTTAAAGCGGGCATTTAATTTCCACTTGAGCACGACAGAGATTTTCGATGTGCGATCAATGGCGTAAATTTCAAAAATTAATTAATTATGGGCGAAAAGGTCACTAATTATGCGCTTGCTAATAAAAATTTAATGCATTTCAATTCAATTCAAATTAATTAATTATGGACGCATAGGACATAATTAAGCGGTTGCTCAAGAAAATGTTTGCCGGAGTGTACCCACCAAAATTTTTTGAAATTCTTGGTTCTAAACTCAGCCATGAATTCCAAAAAACAATTAATTATGAACGCATAGGTCACTAATTATGCGCTTGCTAATAAAAATTTAATGCATTTCAATTCAAATTAATTAATTATGGACGCATAGGACGCATACTTAAGCTGTTGCTCAAGAACATTTTTTGTCCGATTGTACCTACCAAATTTTTTTTAAATTCATGACTGAATTCAGCCATGAATTCCAAATATAATTAATTATGAACGCATAAGCCACTAATTAAGCGTTTGCTAATAAAAATTTAATGAATTACACAAAATTAATTAATTATGGACGTATCGGACATAATCCTGGACATAATACAGCGGTTGCTAAAACAAAATTTTGCGCGATTGTACCAACATTTTTGGAATTCATGGCTCTGAATTCAGCCATGAATTAAAAAAATAGTATAGGACACTAATTAAGCGCTTCCCAAACAACATTTTTGCGCGATTGGAACAAATCAATGCCATACATTAAAAAAAAAATAATTAATTATGCGCAAGGACCACTAATTCAGCGCTTGCTAATCAAAATTTATGCGCGAATTGGCTAAATTAAATGCCACGAGCTTGAAAAATTAATTAATTATGGGCATTAACACTAATTCAGCGGTGGGCTAAACAATACATGAGCGCCAATGGAAAGAAATTCCCCGAAATGGCTGCAAACTCAAAAATTATTTAATTATAGACGCCCATAGGCCACTAATTAAATGCTCGATAAGCAAAATGTTTGCACGATTTAAACGCTTTCCAAACAACATTTTTGCGAAATTTAAACAAAATGGCATAAATTTCAAAAATTAATTAATTATGGACGTATAGGACACTAATTATGCGCTTCGCAAACTACATTTTTGCACGATTGGATCAAATCAATGCAATATATTTCAAAAATTAATTAATTGTGAACGCATAGGATACTAATTAATCGCTTGCTCCACAAAAGTTTTCTGAGATTGTACCAAATTCTTTTGAAATTCTTGGCTCCTATTTTCGCCAAAAACTCCAAAAAATAATTTATCATGGACGTGTAGGACACTACAATCACCTGCTTGAAGCGGGCATTTAATTTCCACTTGAGCACGACAGAGATTTTCGATGTGCGATTGGAACAAATCAATGGCGTAAATTAAAAAAAATTAATTAATTATGGGCGAAAAGATCACTAATTAAGCGGTTACTAATAAAAATTTAATGCATTTCAATTCAATTCAAATTAATTAATTATGGACGCATAAGACATAATTAAGCGGTTGCTCAATAAAATTTTTGCCCGATTGTACCTACCAAAATTTTTTGAAATTCAGCCATGAATTCCAAAAATAATTAATTATGAACGCATAGGCCGCTAATTAAGCGCTTGCTAATAAAATTCTATGAATTTCAAAAATTAATTAATTATAAAACGGTTGCTCAAGAAACTTTTTGCGCGATTGTACCACAATTTTTTTTAAATTCATGGCTCTGAATTCACCCATGAATTCCAAAAATAATTTATTATGGACGTGTAGGACACTAATTAAGCGCTTCCAAAATAACATTTTTGCGCGATTGGAACACATCAATGCCACACATTTCAAAAAATAATTAATTATGAACACGTAGGCCACTAATTAAGCGCTTGCCAATACAAAATTTAATGATATTCAATAATTAATTAATTAGGGCATAATAAAGCGGTTGCTCAAGAAAATTTTTGCGTGATTCTACCAAAATGTTTGGAATTTATGGCTCTGAATTCAGCCATGAATTTCAAAAATAATTAATTATGAACGCATAGGCCACTAATTAGGCGTTTGCTAATAAAAATTTAATGAATTGCAAAAATTAATTAATTATGGATGTATAGGACATAATAAAGCGGTTGCTCAAAACAAATTTTGCGCGATTGTACCAAAATTTTTGGAATTCATGGCCCTGAATTCAGCCATGAATTAAAAAAATAGTATAGGACACTAATTAAGCGCTTCCTAAACAAAATTTTTGCGCGATTGGGACAAATCAATGCCATACATTTCAAAAAATAATTTATTAATTATGAACGCATAGACTACTAATTCAGCGCTTGTTAATCAAAATTTATGCGCGATTGGAACAAATTGGCTAAATTCAATGCCACGAGTTTGAAAAATTAATTAATTATGGGTAATAACACTAATTACAAAGTTTTTGTGCGATTGGACCAACATTTTTTGAAATTCAGGACCGAATTTAGCTATGAATTAAAAAAAATTATTTATTACGGACGCATTTTGGAAATTCAAATTTTGTAATGAATTTCGAAAAATTTCTTATGGACGCATATAGGATACTCCCAAATCACATTTTTGCGCTATTGGACCAACATTTTTTAAAATTCGTGGCTCTGAGTTTAACCATGAATTTCAAAAAGATTGTTATGGGCCCATAAAGCATTTTCAAACAACATTTTTGGGCGATTGGACTAAAATTCTTTGAAATTTCTGGCTCTGAATTTAATCACGAATTTCAGAAAATAATCTATTATAGACGCATATAGGACAGCCCCAAACAAAATTTTTGCACGATTGGTTCCAAATTTTTGAAAATCGTGACTCAAAAAATTATAGACGCATAGCTCCCTAACAAAATTTTTGAGCGATTGCACCAAATTATTTTGAAATTCATGGCTCTGAATTTAGTCATGAATTCCAGGAAATAGTTTATTATGGACGTATAGGACACCCCCCAAACTTTTCTGCGCGATTGTCAAATTTTTTTTAAAATTCAAGACTGAATTTTGTTAATGAATTTCAAAAAATAATTTATTATATGCGCATCTTTTGAAATTCATGACTGAATTTCGCCCTTAAATTAAAAACAAATTATTGTGGATGCATATGACACTACCAAACAAAATTTAATTTTTACGCGATCGGACCAACATTTTTTGAAATTGATGGTTCTGAATTTAGCCATGAATAAAAAAAAAATGGTATGGCCGCAGAGGACACTCAAATAAAAATTTTGCGGGATTGGACTTAAGTTCAGAGCTAATTAATTAATTATGGGCGCATAGAGCACTAATTAATTATGGGCGCATTTTTGCGCGATTCAACCAAATTTTTTTGATATTCAGGAATTAATTCACGAATTTCAAAGAATAAATTATTATGAACGTATAGGACACTCCCAAATAAAATTTTTGCGCGATTAGACCAACATTTTTTGAAATGTGGAGTCGAATTTAGCCATGAATTTCAAAAAAATTACTATGGACGGATAGGAGACTCCCAAACAAAATTTTTCCGCGATTGTACAAAAATTTTTTCCAGACCGAATTTTATCATAAATTTAAACAAATTGATTATGGACACATGACACTCCCAAACAACATTCTTGCGCGATTGGACCAACATTTTTTGAAATTCAGGGCCGAATTTAGCTATGAATTTAAAAAAATTATTTATTATGGACGCATCTTTTGAAATTCATGGCTTTAAATTTAGTAATGAATTTCAATTTGCGGCTCTGAATTTAATCATGAATTTCAAACAAAATTTTTGCAATATTGGATTACAATTTTTGAAAAACGTGACTACATTTAGCCATGAATTTCAAAAAATTATAGACGCAACGGTACCAAACAAAATTTTGCGCGATTGAACTAAAATTTTTTGAAATTCAGGACTGAATTTAGCCATGAATTTTAAAAAATGATGTATTATTTCCGCATTTTTGACATTCGTGACTACATGCACATCAAAAAAATGATGAATGCGTAGGACACTCCTAAACAAAGTTTTTTCGCGATTGGACCAAACATTTCTGATGAACGTATAGGACACTCCCAAATAAAATTTTTGCGCAATTGGACTAAATTTTTTTGAAATTTGTGGCTCTGAATTTAGTCATGCGTGGCAGGAAATAATTTATTAGAGACGTATAAGACATGCCCAAACAACATTTTTGCGCGATTGAACCAAAATTTTTTGAATTCGTGGCTCCGACTTCAGACATGAATTTTAAAAAATTTGTTATGGACACTAATTAAGCGCTTGCTAAACAAAATTTATGCGCGATTGGAACAAAATTTCAATGCCATAAACTTCAAAAATTAATTAAGGACGCATAGTACACTAATTAAGCGCTCGCTAAACAAAATTTTGCGCAATTGGACCAAACTTTTTTGAATTCCTTGCTCTGAATTTAACCAGGAATTCCAAAAATAATTTATAATGGATGTATAGGAGACGAATTAAGCGCTTGCTAAACAAAATTTGTGCGCCAATGGAAAAAATTTCGCAAAAATCGCTAAATTCAGAGCCATGAAATTCAAAAATTAATTAATTATGGAAGCACAGGACTTAAATACTTTACTTTAAGAACGAAAATGTTTTCCAATATATAACAAGCATAGAAAGAATGCAAATGAAATTACTACAAACGTTAACAATGTCCAAGGTTGCAATTCCTCAATAACATTTACAAATTATAAGGTGTGTGAATTACATTTAATTACGTATCTTGATTAAATATTAATCTCCAATTAGTAGCGGTAAGCGAAACCAAACAAACGTAAACAAATAAATGCATAGCATTCATGTTTTTCACTTCAGTAAGTACCTAATAGAAAATAATACTGTGTGTAATCAAAACTAATGGCTACCTTGAATGGAACCTTCATTTTTAGATTATAAACATATTTGAAACCTTTTTTGGAAATTTTAAAAAAAATCTATGATAAATTTCAAAAAGATTTTTTATGTTCAAGGAAATTTTTAGATTTCCAGAGTATTTCAAGAAAATTTTGAGAAAAATTCAAGAAGAGTTCAATAAGATTTCTACAAAATTTTCAAGAATTCGAGATTAAAAAAATTTCAAGATTACAAAAAGAATTCAAGAAGATTTACAAGAGAATTTTGAAAAAAAAAATATTTTCAAAATTGCATGGTTACAAGCAGACTGCTCGAAGAAAAAGCTCCATAAGGATAATGAGAGACTTTCAGTCGATTTTGAGATCAGTATTGTTAGATTTCAAGAAAATAGCAAAAAGATTGCTAAAAAAGTTGAAGGAAATTTTAAGATTTCCAGCGGAGTTAAAAAAATTTCGAGAAAATTTCAAAATTTCAAGAGTTCAAGAAGATTTCTAGAAAGTATCGAGCAGAATTCCAGAAAATTTCGATATTTCAAAAAGCTTTCAAAAAATTCTAATTTTTCAAAAATATTTCTGAAGGATAGAAATTTTAAGATTTCAAGAAAACTTGAACATTTGCCATTGCAAGGTTACAAGCAAATTACACACTGATAAGAATAGTTCAAAAGTCATTCCGAAAATATTTCAAAAATATTTTAGAAAGATTTCTAGACGATTTCAAGGAGATTTTATGAAAAATTCAGGAAGATTTTAAGCAGATTTCAAAAAGTTTACAAACAGATCTGAACATTTTAAGAAAATTTAAAAAATATATTTAAGACATTTTGAGATTTCGATAAAATTTCGAAAAGATTTCTAGAGAAGTTCAAGGAAATTATCAGATTCTAAGAAAATTGCAAAGATTTTTAATGGATTTCATGGAAATTTTAAGATTCCAAGAAAAATTGAAAAACGTAAGATTTCAAGATTTGAAAAACATTCAAGAGGATTTTAAGAAAATTGCAATTTACGTGTAGATTTCAAGAAAAGTTCGAAGGTAACAAGAAAATTTCAAAAAGATATCGAAAATATTTAAAGAACATTTCAAAATGTAAGTATTTCAAAAAGAGTTCAAGAAAGTTTCAAGAAAATAAAAAAAATCGAAGAAATCGAGACATTTCGAGAATTGCATATAATCTCGAGAAGTTTTCAAGAAAATTTCTAGAGAAGTTCAAGACAATTTTAAGATTTCCAGAGGGTTTCAAGAAAATTTTGAGAAAGTTCCAAGAAGAGTTCAAGAAGATATCTAAAAATTTTCAAGAATTCGAGATTCAATAAAAAAATTCAAGAAATTTCAAAACGATTTCAAGAAACTTGATTATCAGTAATTCTAGATTTCAAAAAAATTTCAAAAATATTGCTAGCGGAGAGATATCAAAGGGACTTTAAGAAGATCTCAAAACGACTAGAATTTACAAAAAGATTACAAGATAATTGCAAGAGAATTTCAAGAATCCAAGAAGAGAAAATTTCGATATTTCCAAAATATTTCAAGAAAATTCCAAAAACATGTTTAGAATAGTTTCAAGGAAATTTTAAGGTTTTCAGAGAATTTCAAGATTCCAAAAGTTCGAACAGATTTCGTGAACATTTCGAGAATTCAAAAAATTTCGATATTGCAAAATATCAAAAAATTCCGATTCCCAAAAGAATTCTAAAGAATTGTATAGAAAATTAAAGAACTTTCAAGAAAATTTCAAGAGAATTTTAAGACAATTGCAAGCACATAGATTTCATGAAAAGTTCAAGAGAATTTCAAAAAAATATCAAAAAGATTTCTAAACATTTCATGGAAATTATGAGATTTTAAAAAAATTTGAAAAACGTAAGATTTGAAGGTTTCAAAAACATTTTAAGGACCCTTTAAAAGAATTTCGAGAAGATTTGAAGAAAATTGCAAGCAGATTACAGATATTTTTCAGGAACGGTTCAAAAGGCAACAGAGAATTTTAAGAAGATATTGAAACGATTTAAAGGAAATTTCGGAATTTTAGTATTTCAACAAGAGTTTAAGAAAGTTTCAAAAAAATTCCATTTCGAGGAGATTTCAAAAAGAATTCTACAGAAGTTCAAAGAAATTTTAAAATTTTTCAAAGAATTTCAAGAAAATATTGGAATGATTCAAAATTTCAAGAAGAGTTCAACATAATTTCATGAAAATGAAATGAAAATTTCAAAAAAATCGAAGTTTTCGAGACATTCCGAGATTTCAAAAATATTTTATAAAGATTTTTAGACAATTTCAAGGGGATTTTATGAAAAATTCAGGAAGATTTGAAGCAGATTTCAAAAAGATTTCAAAGAAATCTGAAAATTTTAAGAAAATTAAAAAAAAATTTGATAAGATTTCGAGACATTTCGAGATTTCGAAGAGATTTCTAAAGAAGTTCAAGGAAATTATCGGATTCTAACAAAATTGCAAAGATTTTTAATGGATTTAATGGAAATTTTAAGATTCCAAAAAAAAAATTGAAAAATGTAAGATTTCAAGATTTGAAAAACATTCAAGAGGATTTTAAGAAAATTGCAATCTACGTGTAAATTTCAAGAAAAGTTCGAAGGCAAACAAGAAAATTCGAAACGATTCAAAAAAATTTCAAAATGTAAGTGTTTCAAAAAGAATTCAAGAAAGTTTTAAAAAAATTAAAAAAATCGAAGAATTCGAGACATTTCGAGATTTGGACAAAAGTTTTCAAGAAAATTTCTACAGAAAATTTTAAGATTTCAAGAAAATTTTATCAGTATTTCTAGATTTCAAGAAAATTTCAAAAATATTACTAGAGGAGAGATATCAAAGGGATTTTAAGAAGATCTCAAAAAGACTAGAATTTACAAAAAGATTACAAGATAATTGCAAGAGGATTTCAAGAATCCAAGAAGAAAAAATTTCGATATTTCCAAAATATTTCAAGAAAATTTCAAAAGATGTTTAGAAAAGTTTCAAGGAAATTTTATGGTTTCCAGTGGATTTCAAGATTCCAAAAGTTCGAACAGATTTCGAGAATTCGAAAAAATTTCGATATTTCAAAATAAAAAATTCCGAGATTTGCAAAAAAGTTAAAAATTTCAAGAAAACATTTTACAGAACGTTCAAAAAAAGTTCAAATTTCAGCAAGATTTGAATGAGATTAAAAAGAATTAAAAAAAATTTCAAAACAATGTTTCGAGTTTCCCAGATATTGTGCCGTTTCGATACGTTATTTTAGTTTTTGTTGATATTTTGAAACATTTAAACTTCGTGATCTTGAAGCATTGAAAACAAACGAAAATTTCAAAAACCCGAAGCGTCTTTCATATTTCAAGAACGCGATTGTTTGGAGTTTTCAATGATTTCACAATTCTAAGCTGCACAAATATTAAAATGCGATTATTTCATAATATCAAACAAAAAAATGTTTTCAAAATTTCAATTTGTCTTAAGTGTGAAATTTCGGGACATTTTAATTGAACATGTAAATGTCTAAATTTTAAAATGTCAAATTTCAAAGATTTTAAAATTTCAAATTTTAAAATAACCTATAACTAACCTTTCTTCACTAGACTCACTCTCCCTCGTCGAGGTTCCCGTATCACTTCCAATAGAAGATTCGATCTTCTTACTCTCCTTCGGCATTTTCAGTCGATTTTCGATCTCGCCAAACTTCTTTTGGTTCTCTGGCCTTTCGATCAGGATCTGCAGCTGCTGCTTGAGCAGCGTCGCCGTCTCCAAACTGTCGCATCTGTATGCGTGCACATGCAGAGGACATTTCGTAACGGGATTGAACAACAACAAAATACACGATATGATATCGTCCTGCTGGTACACGCACGTTATCGTATTGTGGGGTATAAAGTGCTTGATCGTCTCGTTCTTCGGCTTCGAGCTCTTCGAGCCCTGCGTCACGACGTTCTGGATGATCTTGAGACCCTTGTGCGAGATCTGCAGCGTGACCTTGAACGGCTCGACGTCCTTCTCGCGATCGACCAGGTGCTGGATGACCGGAAGGACGTACTCGGAACCGCGCAGGCCCTTTGATTCCTTCGCCCCCAAGAACCAGACGTAGTAGGAGGACTTCTTTATGTCCTTGCGTAGACGCAGCGCCATTTCGACTTTTCTTTACCGCCCCGCGCGCCGCGCGTCTCACATCTCCTGCAACAAGAGCAAAACCGGCGATAAGCAAAAGTGATGACAACATAACCTCGTTTTTCGCAAACAATGGCGCGTAACCTCATTCGAAATGACAGATGCACTTTATTGGCCCAATCGTAACCTCAATTGGGCCGCGTTCGGCCAAAAATCTCGGTAGCCTCAATATTGTCCGTAGATTTTATTTACAGTTAATCACGGAGTTGCGGCAGATTAGTGTTATTACGGAGAAGTGCGTGTATTTACCCATAAACCTACTTCATTACGACGATTTGCATATAATCGAAATTTGCTAACTGGCAACGTCGCTTCCGGTCAAACGCGGCAATTATGAATTAATGATTGCGTAACCTCAAAAAACGACAAATTTCGTAACGCGGAGGTCGTGTCTCGAGGAAAATGCTGTTTTAATTGCGTTTTCGTGGCGCGCGAGCAAATTCGGCTGCTGCGGCGTTCGCTCGTTATGCAATTTGAAAGACACGCGGATTGAGGTTAGGTCAGAATCGGACAGAGTGCTCGGAACAATAAATAGAGCCGCACGTCACGATTTTATGCAACGGCATCGACCTTTTATTGTTTGAGCGTTATGGGAAAATACCAGGCTGCGTTAGGGGAGAAAAATGGATTCGCAACGACGACTTTCACAATCGTAGATGATCGATTTTCGTTTTAATGGCGTTAAGGAAGTGACCTTCGGCGCTAGATTACCTGATGGTATCCTTTAAAGAAATAATGAAAGGAGTATATTGGACAACTGTCGTATTGCCATTTATGGTTTATGGCATTCGCGGATTGCGGAATTCCTCTTCGGTCACTATACCGGAAATGCAGTTTTGGAACGGCTGGAATGTATACGGTCTGTTGAGTAATAATGGAGAAGTACACGGCGAAAGGGTAGAGACCTTTGAGGGGGAGTCTGTGGGCAAGATTAGGTTCAACATAATTGGAACACAATCGAAGAACACAAGATAAAGTAGTAGAAGCAAAAAGTGGATCAAAAAAGGACTCAAATCTGTAATCGGCACATAATCCAATTTGGATTTGGATCTGTGGATTAGGAAAAAGACTCGTCAAGTGACGCAACAAAAATTATTGCAAAAAAAAAACGATTTTAATAGAGCAAAGTGTATATCCTTGTCCCGAAAGTGACTTGAAAAACGCCCTTTCCCAAATCCACAGTCAATCGATTTTCAATTTTTCTGTCGAGAAGTATATCCAGTTACACATTGTTTTACTAAAACAATTGAAAACGTTAGTTTAGAACGCGTGGAATTTTAATTGCCATCATCAATATTTATTAATCTCCGGCGATTGGATTCATTAATTTGGGGATTCCGGAAATATTCTTAGGACGGATTCAATTTTTTCATCGACAATAGAAATTGCTGCTTCATCTACAGAGAGGGCTTACCTTTGAGTTCATTTGGGTCATTAATTTGAGTTCAAACTCGTCAGATTCTTCATTTTAGATTCCCATCCTTCGTATTCATCAAAGTGGTTCAACTTCATGTTCTCCAAAATCTCAGGATTCTTTGGATTCTTCCGATCTTTCTAATTCTCCTCCTTCGAATTGTTCAAATCTTTCAAATTCATAATTTCGAGTCATTTCGAGATTTCAAAAAGATGTCTAGGCGATTTCAAGAAAATTTGAAGATTTCAAATACAACAAGAAGGTACAAGATCATTTGAAGGAGATTTCAAGAAGATTTCCACAATTTCACGAAGATTTCAATAATATTTCAAGGAAGTTTCAAAAAGAATTCTAGGGGAATTCAAGGAGATTTTAAGAAGATTTCAAAATTAGAAGATTACAAGAGAATTGCAAAAAGATATCAAGGGGATTTCAGGAACATTTCAGGAAGATTTGTAGTAAATTTCAAAATGTCAAAAAGTGTTCAAAAAATTACATTGAGCTTTCATAAGAGATCAAGAGGATTTCAAAAAAATTTCAGGAAGATTTGAAAGAAATGTCAAGAATATTTTATAAGGATTAAAATGAGCTTTCAAGAAGTTAAGGCTTCAAGAGGATTGTAGGAAACTTTCTCAAAGCTTTGAAGAAAATTTCAAGGATTCTTCACGAAGACTTCACTAAGGTTTCAAAAATATTTCAACTTCAAGAAGATGACAAGATGATGACAAAAAGTTTACATGAAGATTTCAAAAGGGTTTTAAGGGAATTTTAGGAAACGTCTAGGAGAGTTTAAACAGTTTTTAATGAAAAATTTAAGAGGAATTCATGGAAATTGCAGGAAGATTGAAATATTTCAAAGAATATTTCGAGATTTCGAAAATTTTCAATATTCCGAGATTTTGAGAATATTTACAAGAGGTGTCCAAAAGAGTTTGAAGAGAGTTTCGAAAAAATGCCAAGAAACTTTCGAGAGTTCAAGATTTTAAGATTCCAAGAAGAGTTTCTAAAAAACGTTTCAAGATTTCAAAAAGATTTTAAGGAATGTTTAAGAAAATTTTAAGATTGCAAGGGAATTTCAAGAAAAGTTCGAGATTTCAGCATTTCAAGGAGGGAAGAAAATGTCGAAAAAATTTGAAAAGATTTTGAGACAATTTTAGAAGGTTCGAGGTTTGATGGAAATTTCAAGAAGTTGAAACTTTCTTTCCATTTCAAGAAAATACCTGAAACGATTTAAAGAACATTTTGAAAAGTAAGGTTTCAAAAAGAGTTCAAGAAAGTTTCAAGAAAATAAAAAAATCAAAGAATTCGAGACATTTCGAGATTTGAACAAAATCTCGAGAAGTTCAAGAACATTTTAAGATTTCCAGAGGATTTCAAGATATCTAGAAATTTTCAAGAATTCGAGGTTCAATAAAAAACTTACAAGATTACAAGAGAATTTCGGAAAAAATTCAAGAAATTTCAAGACGATTTCAAAAAACCTTTGAGATCAGTATTTCTAGATTTCAAGAAAATTTCAAAAATATTGCTAGCGGAGAGATATCAAAGGGACTTTAAGAAGATCTCAAAACGACTAGAATTTACAAAAAGATTACAAGGTACTTGCACGAGGATTTCAAGAATCCAAGAAGAAAAAATTTCGATATTTCCAAAATATTTCAAGAAAATTCCAAAAAGATTTTTTAGAAAAGTTTCAAGGAAATTTTAAGGTTTCCAGTAGAAAGATATTACAAAAGTTCGACAGATTTCGAGAAGAATTCGAAAAAATTTCGATATTTCAAAATATCAAAAAATTCCAAAATTCCAAAATGATTTCTAAAGGATTTTATAGAAACTTTTAAGATTTCAAAAAAAAATTGAAGATTTGCAAAATGTATAAAAAATTCAAGATTTGAAGATTTGAAAAACATTTAAAGAACTTTCAAGAAAACTTCAAGAGAATTTTAAGACAATTGCAAGCTTACAAGCATATTACACATAGATTTCAAGAAAAGTTCAAGCGAATTAAAAAATATATATCAAAAAGATTTCTAAACAATTCCTGGAAATTATAAGATTTCAAAAAAATTTGAAAAACGTAAGATTTGACGAACATAGAACTTTCAAGAAAATTTCAAGCAATTACAAGCATATTACACATTGATTTCAAGAAAAGTTCAAGATAATTTCAAAAAATATCAAAAAGATTTCTAAACATTTCATGGAAATGATGAGATTTCAATAAAATTTGAAAAACGTAAAATTTGAAGGTTTCAAAAACATGTTAAGGACCTTTTAAGAGAATTTCGAGAAGATTTGAACAAAATTGCAAGGTTACAAGCAGATTACAGATACTTTTCAGGAAAGGTTTCGGAATTTCAGTATTTCAACAAGAGTTTAAGAAAGTTTCAAAAAAATTCAAAAGATTTCGAACAAATCTCGAGAAGATTTCAAAAAGAATTCTAGAGAAGTTCAAAGAAATTTTAAGATATTCAGAGGATTTCAAGAAGATTTCATAAGGATAACAAGAAAATTTCAAGATTTCAAAAAGATTGAAATTGAAATTTAGAATTAAAAAAAAGTAGAGTCGACGGAGGACAATAAAAGCGACACAACAAAATTTAAGGAAAAAAACGATTTTATTGCTAATTATGCGGCCTTGCCTCGAAAACCGATTGAAAATGTTCACCGAAAGTCCTGTTGCAAGGAAATTTCTTTTCATTTAGCACTGATTGATTAGCTCAAATACATGGTAATTTTTTTGCAGTCGTCACTTCGGTCTTTAAAGTCGCAGACCACTTCAAGTCTTAAACCTTCTCGTATGCTAATGCCGCCTCTTATCCGTTCGCTTTTCCGAAGAAAAGGAACTAGCCCGCAAAAAGAGGTGGAAAATCAGATGCCTCATCATATCCGGCTTGGCCAGATCGAGATGTATACAAATTGATATACAAGAAAAGTAGCTTAATAGAGAAATTTAAAAAAATGGAAGAACTTTTCTCTAATTCTCGAAACTTCTTGAAATGTTGAAATTTTCTCTAAATTTTTTTCCAAATACCTGGCTCCGCCACTGCCAAAAGGTTTTAAAAGATGTGGAAATTATTGGAATCTCTTGGAGATGATTCAGCATATAAATACCAACAATTTGAAAGTTGGTACCGTTTTTGAAAGGTTCTAAAAGACTACTAGAGGGTTTTAAAATTTTCTTGAAATTCCCTTGTGATCTTTTTGAAATCTTGAAAAGTTTTTTAGACTTTCAATTCCTGTTGAAATCTTCTCGAAATCTTAAAAATGTCCTGAAATATCTTTCTTTTCCTTTCTTTCTGAAATATTTTTGAAATCTTCTTGAAATCTCGGAATACTCGAAATTTTCTCAATTTTCGTTAAACCTTCTTGCAACATCCTTCACAGCTTCTCTTGAAACCTCTTTGTAATTTTTGTAATCATCATGGAATCTTCTTCTGTTTTGAATCTATTTCATGCAATTTTTTAAAATCTCAGAATTTCTTTTCGAAATGTGGATTTTTCTTGGAATCATTTTGAACTTTTCTTGAAATCCTGCACTCTTGATATATTGAAAATTTGAAATCGTTTCGAAATCTTTTTGTAAC